CATGTGGTGTAGTGGCGAGGGTTATTCCGGATCCACGGCCGGAATGGGAGCCGTGTTTGACACTTGGCAACCTCTGCCGATTGTTGCGGCGAAAACACGTGGAGAAGTACCCCCAGTAGGCTCCGGCCTTGGCCATGGTGCCTCTGCTGAGAAACTTAGCACTGTAGTCAAGCGAAGTTTTCGTCGTGCTGCTAAGCGGGTCCTAGATCATGGGTATTGTTGGTACCGGGGCAGGTGCCTCACTGTTCAAGACATCCCATCCACCTTGATTGACCAAGTAAAGACTCGCTCTTCGGTGGTCTTCGATCAGAAAACACCATACAAACTTGACTCTCGTCCCAAGCAGGTTCACACGAATTTTTCTCATGCCCCTGCCAAGCGCATTAATACGGTCGTGTGGAATCCGGGTGGGCTATCTAGTGCTAAACTTCACGAATACATTCAATGGGCTAATCAGCAGGATATCAGTATTCACATTTTACCTGAGACACGCTGGACCTTTGACTCGCAGTGGACTGACAAGCACTGGCACTTTCTACATTGTGGTCTTCCCAAGCATCGTGGCAGTGGCATCCTTGTCATGATCTCACGACGAATTTGTGATGCTGCCTCCATAGGCTATCACTCGATCCTTCCTGGACGACTGCTCCATATCCGTCTTCATTTGCAGCCTCGCTATGTGGACGTTGTGGCGATTTACCAGTGTGCAGGTCATGGGAAAGCTGATCTGCCGACCCGAGCAAGTGTTTGGGATGCCTTTGATAACCTCCTGTCCAGATTGGCAAATCGACATGGGTTAATAGTTGCTGGAGACATGAATTGCTCCTTGACTGTTGGCTACCCTCACACGGGTGTAGACACTTTTCTCTTGAATGGACGTGCCCGCACCGGTACGTTGCATGCTGATAGAAGTATCTTCAACAACATAGTCATGAAACATAATCTAGTTGCCCTCAACTGCTGGGACCCACGAATGGGACCGACGTCGTTCAACCCGGTCGGAGCTGCTTCCAGGATTGACTTCATCCTGGTTCGACAACGCTTTGCCGACTCCTTGGCAAGATGTTCGCGGCAGCTACCCGACGCCCCTTTTGTGGGCTTGGCGACGGCGCGTCACATTCCCATCCTGGGATCGATGCCTGTTCCTTGGACTCCCAGAGGTAGGCCCAA